AAGAGGGCCCCAAGTCGGCTCTGAGAGACCCCCCAAACGGCTTTCGACGGGGTCGGACGGGCCAGGGGCCCACCAAGACGGCCGAAGATGGCACTAAGATGGCCCAAGACGGCCCAAGAGGCCTCCAAGAGGGCCTCCAGGAAGGCCCGAAAAGGCCAAAATTATTGATTTCCCATGAGTTGTTGTGGCATTTGCTTTTTGTTCGGCCTTCCGACGGCCCGAGACGACCCAAGTGCCCCCAAAGATCGCCCAAGAGGCCCAAGACGGTCCCAAGAGGGCCCCAAGACGGCCCAAGAGGCCTCCAGGACGCTCAAGATGGCCTCCAAGACGGCCCAAGAGCCCTCCAAGACGTCCTCCAAGAAGGCCTCCGAAAGGGTCAAAATGGCCTCCAGGCGGCCAAGAGGACCTTCCAGATGCCCACGTGCTTCCCGAAGGCTTTCCAAACCGATTCGGGGAACACATGGTCCGATAGCTTGGCAGGCCTCTGGCCACAACCTTCGGCCACATAGGCGCGCCCAAAAAGGCAGGGGGCGGCGGTGATTCGCCGTAGGCGTCTTCGATATATATATATATATATATATATATATATATAATTTCGACTCGGCTATGCCCCAAGAGCTGCCTTACCGTCACTGTGTTTGCCTGTCCTGGAACCTAATGCAAGTACTTCGCGCACACATTGCCATGATATATACAACAGTGACACATGCTACGCAACTGTGTCAGGCTAAACTTGAGATGAGGATCATGTAAGACAGAGAAGATCAAGATAATATATATATATATATGTATAGAGAGAGAGGGAGAGAGTATACATACATACAAATGTATGTGCATATGCAAATATATATATATATATATTAATTTAAATAATACTATATATATATAGGTGATGTATATATATGTATGTATACATACATACATACACGTACACATGCTCACGTGTAGCCATGTCTGATATAATACACCACGACATATTACATCGAGGTACACATATACGAATGTATATAATGTATATAGAACAGTATGTGTATGTATGTGTATACGTTTGCATATGCATTTGCATAGTCAGATGCAAATGTATAAACATATGCATGCACATGGATGTATACATGTGCGTATACATGTATATAAACAAATACACACTTGTATAAACATGTGCATGTATATGTACACAGAAACATCTGGGTTTGCATATCCACACACACGCACGAATACCTAATCATATACATACATATGTGCATATACATGTAAGTATACATAAACATATACATATCGCATACATATACGTACACATGTACATGTAGACAAATGTATAGACGCATGCATATACGTATACATGTACATATACGTAGACATGTACATGCAACTATAGACACCCAGACATACACACCTGCATCCATACAGACAGACAAACAGACTGACTGACTGACAGATAGACAGGCAGGCAGGCAGACAGAAAGACAGACAAACGGACAGAGAAACAAACATGCACATGTACATAGATACATGCATAGATGTATGCATATATACATGCATACATACAAGCATGCATGCAAACATACATGTGACGCATGAGTACAGGCGCATGCACAAACAGATGACTGCGTGCATGCATACATCAAAACATGTACATACACATACATACACTCGTACGTTCATACATAATTACAAAAATACATACAAACATGTATACATCCATACATTAATGCACGTATGCATACATACAAGCAGACATGCATACTTGTATACATACTTACACACATGCATAGATACATGCATACCTGCGTACATACATACATACATGCATGCATGCATGCATTATTGAATACATACAGACATACACGCATACATATGAGCCTCTGGAAGCAGGGCCATCCAGAGCCTCGGGAGGCCCGGAATGTGCGTTCCTGCGCTGCTGGCGGGGGGGTGGTTCCACCAGCGAGGCGCCCGCCGACAGAGAGTTGCGCTGCTTTAAGCACTGAAAATTTGACAGTGCGCCACACTACTAAAAGTGGGAAAAGGATTGGGCTACCAGGAGGAGGGCTGGCAGCACCCAACCCGACCGAGCCGATGCTTGCAGAGACTGCTGGAATTGCAAGGGCAAGTAGCTGTTCGCGGACGCGTGCTGATCAGGTGTTTGCCCGCGGGCGTCGCAGGATTAGAGCCTGGAGCCTGGTTGCAGTCGTGATTGACGTCCCCGAACTGAGGATGGAGGTAGGGTTGGAGGTGAAGGTGGAGGTGGTGGCAGTGGTGCAAAGGGACGGGAAAGGCGTAGGAGGTGGAGGAGCAGGAGGAGGAGGAAAAGGAGGAGAAGGAGTAGGAGGAGGAGGAGGAGGAGGAGGTGGTGGAGAAGAGGAGGAAAAGGATGAAGGGGGAGGAGGAGAGGCGCGGACGGGGCAGGCGCGTCTCGGACACCTGCCCGAGAACCACGGCCGAAGCCCCCCTCGCCACTGCAACCCAGGCCTCCGCCGAGGGCCGCCGAGGGCCGCCGAGGGCCGAGGAGAGACCGACCCCACGGACCCCCGCCGAGATCTTGCCACCGCGGCCCGCGTTCCGCGGCAGCCGCGCGCCGCTGCGGCCGCTGCGGCCCCCGTCGGAGGCCGGCGCGGAGCGGCGTGGCGAGCGCGGCGCGGCGCGCCGCCCCGAGCTCGGCGAGCCTCCGCGGCGGCCGCTGCGGCATCCGCCAGCCGGGAGCGCCGCGCGCCGCGAGCCGCGCGACGTCGGCGCCGCGGCGCGGCGGCGCGCGCCACGGCCACAGCCGCGGGGGCGCCGGCGGCACCGAGAGCCAGGCGGCCGAGAGCCTGCGGGAGGCTCTGCCTGCAACCTGCTTTCGTTCCCACCCTCCTCCCCTTCCTCCCTCCCCTCCCTGGTCCATCCCATCCCCCCTCCCTCCCTCCCCCCTCCTTCACTCTCTCCTTCCTGTTCTTGATATTGTTAAGATTAGTGCGATTCTTCTCATTACTCGTATGATGATGATCACTATTATGAGTATTAGTAGTAGAATGATTTACATTGCTCGTGTTATCATTACGATTGGCATTATCATCGTTATTGGTAATAGGATATCATTACGATATTAGTGTGAGAATTATTCGAAGTAGCAATACCATTAGTATTGTGTCATTGGTATTATTCAAAGCGATATTATTATTGTTGTCATTAGTACGAGTAGTATTAGTAGTCGTAGTAGTGGTAACTCAAGGAAAAGTAGTAGTAGTAGTAGTAGTAGTAGTCGTAGTAGTAGTAGTAGTAGTAGTAGTAGTAGTAGTAGTAGTAGTAGTAGTAGTAGTAGACGTAGTAGTAGTAGTAGTAGTAGTAGTAGCAGTAGCAGTAGCAGTAGCAGTGGCAGTGGCAGTAGCAGTAGCAGCAGTAGTAGTAATAGTAGTCGTAGTCGTAGTAGTATAGTCGAAGTAGTAGTAAGTAGTGTAGTATCGTATTAGTAGTAGTAGTAGTAAGAGTGGTAGTAGTATAGTAGTAAGCAGTATACATAGTAGTTAGTAGAAGTGGGTAGTCGTAGTAGTATTAGTAGTAGAGTACTAGTAAGTAGTAGTAAGTAGTAGTAAGTAGTAGTAGTAGTTAGTAGAAGTAGCACTAGTAGTAGTAGTAGTAATAGTGGTAAGTATTAGTATTAGTAATGTATTACTAGTAATATACTAGTATTACTATGTAGTAGTAGTAGTAGTAATAGTAGTAGTAGTATTAGTATAGTAAGTAGTAGTAGTGAATGGTGGTAATGGTAGTAGTAGTAGTATGTTGTAGTAGTAGTAAGTCTTAAGTAGTAAATCGTAGTAGTAGTAGTATTCTAGTTTAGTAGTAGTAGTAGTAGTAGTACTAGTAGTAGTAGTAGTAGTAGTAGTAGTAGTAGTAGGAGTAGGAGTAGTAGTAGTAGTAGTAGTAGCAGTAGTAGTAGTAGTAGTAGTGAAAGTAGAAGTAGAAGTAGTAGTAGTAGTAGTAAAAGTAGTAGTAGTGGTAGTAGTAGTAGTAGTAGTAGTAGTAGTACTAGTAGTAGTGGTAGTAGTAGTGGTAGTGAAAGTGGTGGTATGTGTAGTAGTTATAGTAGTAGTGGTCGTAGTAGTGGTAGTAGTAGTAGTAGTAGTAGCAGTAGTAGTAGTAAAAGCAGAAGTAGAAGTAGTAGTAGTAGTAGTAGTAGTAGTAGTAGTAGTAGTAATAGTAATACTAGTAGTCGTAGTAGTCGTAGCAGTAGCAGTAGCAAAGGCAGCACTAGTAGCAGTAGTAGTCGTAGTCGTAGTAGTAATAGTAGAAGAAGTAGTAGTAGTAGTAGTAATAAAAGAAGCGGTGGTACTAGTGGTGGTATTCTTGGTAGTGGTAAGAGTATGAATGTAGTACCACCAGTATGCATTGTATCAAGTTACTGGGATTACTTCTCACATCCAAAATGGGGTCCTTGCTTTTTTCTGCACATACCCCGCGCAAGAAGAAGGACACCCCCACTTCATCATCATCATCAGCATCATCAGCATCACCAACAACACCAACATCAACATCATCATTTGGAACGGGAGCACGCCACGCCAACATCACCATCACCAACATCATCATCATCATCATCATCATCATCATCATCATCGTCATCATCATCATCATCTGGAAAAGGAGCACACTCACACACTCCTCAGCACCATCACCATCACATGATCAGTCTCATCACTCACTCACTCTCATCACCATCCCCATCACTCAAACACTCGCACACTCGCACACCCACACACTCATCAAGACCATGCTGATGACAACGATCACGATCATCCTCATTCGCCCACTCGCTCCTCACTGAATGGCTCGCTCACTCAACTTTGGGCGCCTGAAGCGTGAATCTGGAGAACGTCTCAGGCAGGGGCATCGTCAGTGAGTGAATTGCGAGGAAGTCTCAGGCGGGGGCCTCTCCCGATGGGGTCCGCGCCTCATGTTTGTTGTTTCAACAAAAAACCGAGGCGGGTCATTCGCAAACCTATAACTGTGGTCATCGGTGGGCCCCTGAGGCTTGAATCTATAGGAAGTCTCACGCGGGAGCCCCGTCTGTGAGTGAATTGCGAGGAAGTCTTAGGCGGTACCCCCCCCCCCCCCCCACTTGGGGCCCGCACCTCATGTTTTTGTATCCCAGGGCGTTGCTCGCAAACCTGTAACTGTCGTCACGTTTGGGCCCCTGAGACGGGGGATAGGGGGCTGGGTACGAGGTGGACGGGGGGGGAAGAGGCAGGAGGACGAGAAGGGGCAAGAGCGGGGGGCAGGATGAGGGCATCCGCCAGGGCAAAAGGGAAAAGCGCGATGAGGAGACGGGAAGAGAGTTCCTGCATTCACAAGGACGGCGATGAGGTTCACAACCAGAATCATTTGGTGATTATCATGCGGGGTTCTTCCGTCGGAGCCATTATTCATGTTGTTAACAACAGTGTGATCATCAATGTTCATATTCCTATCCTTCTTGTTACTGTTTACTACGATTATTATTGGTATTGTCCTTACTACTCATAGTATTGCTAGAACGCTTCCTATGGTTGGTAGTATTGTTAGGAGTCCTCATCCTTCTCCTCCGTCTCCTCCTCCTACTACTACTACTACTACTACTACTACTACTACTACTACTACTACTACTACTACTGATACTACTACGACTACTAATAATAATACTACTACTACTAATAACAATAACTGTTACTACGACTACGAATACTATTGATACGACTACTACTACTACTACTACTACTACTACTACTACTCTTACACTGATATTAACTACTACTTCTATGATACGACTATCTACGACGAGTTAATAAATAACTCTAACTTACTACTACTACTAATAACTACTACTACGGCTAGCCTGCCTAGAAAATGCTACCTAGCTCTACTACTACTACTACTACTACTATTACTACTACTACTACTACTACTACTACTACTACTACTACTACTACTACTACTACTACTACTTACTACTACTACTCCTACTACTACTCCGACTACTACTACGACTACTCTTACGTTTACAACTACTACTGCTACTACTACTACTACTACTACTACTACTACTACTACTACTAGTAGTACTAATATTACTACGACGCCTATTACGCCTACTACAACTACACCTACTGCCACTGCTAGTACGACTACGTTTGCTGTGTCTTCTTCTTCTTGTACTACTACTACTACTACTACTACTACTACTACTACTACCACTGCCACTACAAGTACTACTACTACTACTTCTTCTTCGACTACTACTACTACTACTACTACTACTACTACTACTACTACGACGGCTACTGCGACTACTACTACTATTACTATTACAACTACTACTACTAAAACTACTACTCGGGCGGTGATAAAAAGCCGAGTACTGATACGACAACTACTACTGCTACTACTACAACTACTACTACGACGACTACTACTACTACTACTACTACTACTACTACGACTACTACGAGGACTACTGCGAATGGTACGACGACTACTACTACTACTACTACTACTACTACTTCCACTACTACTACGACTACGACTACAAATAATCATAATAAGAATAGCAATACTGCGAAAAGTAAAACTAATAAGATTAATACCACTTCCACTACTACTAATACAAATGGTACTACTACGACTACTACTACTACTATTACTACTACTGCTACTACTACGGCTACGACTAATTACTAGTAGTAGTAGTAGTACTACAACTACTACTACTACTACTACTGATGCTACTACTACTACTACTACTACTGACTACTACTCCTACCTACTACTACTCTACTCTACTAACTACTACTATTACTAAATACTACTACTCTACTACTACTACTACTACTACTGCGACTACTACCCTCACTACTACACTACCCACTACTGACTACTACTACTACTACTGCTATTCTTCTTCTACTACGAACATAAGACTAAGACTACGATACTCCGACTACGACTATAACTACTACACTACTACTACCTACTACTATACTATCTACTACTACTACTACTACTACTGCCTACTACTACTACTAATAACTAATACTACTACTCCTTGAATGAACTACACACTACAATACTACTAATACTACTAATAATAATAATACTACGACTACTACTACTACTACTAACTACTACGACTACATACTACTACTACTACTAACTACTACTACTAATGCGACTACTACTCTTGATACTACGACTACGACTCTACTACTACTACTCCTACTACTACTACTACTACTCCTACCCCTACTCCTACGACTACTACGACTACGGATACGACTACGACGACAACTACTACTACTACTACTACTACTACTACTACTACTACTACGACTACTACGACTACTACTACTACTACTACTACTACTACTACTACTACTACTACTACTACTACTACGACTACGACTACGATTACTACGACTACTACGACTACTACGACTACTACTACTACTACTACTACTACTACTACTACTACTACTAAACTACTCTACTACTATTAGTACTACTACTATCTACTTACTACTCTACTACTTACTACTACTATACTAACTACACCTACAACTACACTAATACTCTGACTACAACTACTAGTACTACTACAACTACTACTACTACTACTACTACTACTACTACTACTCGAACTACTACGACTACTACTACTACTACTACTACTACTACTACTACTACTACTACTACTACTACTACTACTACTACTACTACCCTACTACTTCTTCTACTACTACTACTACTACTACCTTCTACTACTACTACTACTACTACTACTACTACTACTACTACTACTACTACTACTACTACTGCGACTACTACTACTACTACTACTACTACTACTACTACTACTACTACTACTACTACTACTACTACTACTACTACTACTACTACTACTACTACTACTACTACTACTACTACTACTACTACTACTACTACTACTACTACTACTACTACTACTACTACTACTACTACTACTACTGCTACTACGACTACTACTACTACTACTACTACTACTACTACTACTACGTTCCGCTATCCTCCTCCCCCTCCTCCTCATCCTCCTCCTCCTCCTCCTCCGGGTCCTCCTCATCCTCCTTCTGCATCCCACCAATCTTTCCCACCCACCCGCCCACACTCGCCCTCCCCCTTCTTACCCCCTCGTCCCCGCGGGGCAGGAGGAGGGAAGCGGGGGATGGACAGAGCGGAAGAAGACGGAGGAGACGACGACGGCGACGAGGAACACAACAACCAGAACCACGACCACGACCACGGCCGCCGCCGCGACGACCACGACGACAACGAGCACGACGACGACGACGACCACGACCAGCACGACGACCACGACCACGACGACCACCACCGCGACGACCACCACCGCGACGCCCACCGCGACGACCTCCACCGCGACGGCGAGAGGTCCCCGCGCCTCCCTCACCCCCAGCGCCCCGAGGCCCGTCACGGCCCGCAGGAGCGCGGAGCCGCCGGCCGCCCCGGCGCCCCCGCCGGCGGCCGCGAGGCCCCGCACGACCGGGGAGTGGACGCGCCTCGCGGGGGGGAGGGCGGGGGCAGGAGGGTTTATGACAACATCGTTTATGATTCCTGGGTTTACACTGGTCCTCCTCCTCCTCCTCCTCCTCCTCCCTCCTCCTCCTCCTCCCCCTCCTCCTCCTCCTCCTCCTCCTCCTCCTCCTCCTCCTCCTCCTCCTCCTCCTCCTCCTCCTGCGCCTCGCCCGCCCCCCGCCCGCGCGGTGCCCGCCCCCCGTTCCTGCCCGAGGTGCCTGGCCCGGCGGGCGCGCCGCGGACGGACGGCGAGGGAGGGGGAGGGCAAGGGCGAGGACGAGGAGGGCCAGGGGGTAGACGAGGAGGACGGGGCGGTGGACGGGGAGGACGAGGAGGACGAGGAGGACGAGGGGATGGACGGCGAGAGAAGGGGGAGGGCATCGACGAGGACGAGGAGGGCCAGGGGTGCAGACGAGGAGCACGAGGCGGTGGACGAGGAGGACGAGGAGGACGAGGGGATGGACGGCGAGGGAAGGGGAGGGCAGGGGCGAGGACGAGGAGGACGACGAGGCCCGGGGGGGGGGGGGGGGACGGGGAGGACAACGAGCAGGACAAGAGCCAGCGCAAACCCAAGACCCAGCAAAGATGTTGGAATATGCCCTCCCTTCAAGCTCCATCTTCACAGGCCCCTGCAAGGATTCATTTCCACTGAAGAAAGTGCCACGTTGGGAGACAAACGTCTGACAATCCGAAAGCGTGCCAAAACATCATTTTCGGGAGTTCAGCGCCACGATTCAACCTGACTGTTGCATCTTGACGGTCCTGACTCGCGACAGAACACCTTTCCTGGAACTTCAACACCGCGAATCAACGTAACTGTTGCGCCCTCCGAAAACGCTCCAAAGTACCATGTCTGGCACATCCAACATGACAACCGATGAAACTCTTGCAAATGTCCAAAACGAATGTGCGCGGCGCTACGGCGAGAGCCACATTTTGAAAACGAGCCGCCCTCAATCGGTGAAAATCGTGCATACTTTAAAAACGAATGTGCGCGGCGCAAGCGCGAGAGCCACATTTTCTTACATGTCTGAACCAAAACCGATAGAAAGGCCCTGAACCCAAGCAGCTGTTGCCATTGTTTGAAACAACTGTGCGCGGCGCTGAGAGCCCCATTTTGAAAAGGAGCCGCCCTCAATCCGCGAAACTCCCGCATTGCTTTTAAACGAATGCGCGTGGTGCTACGGCGAGAACACACATTTTGAAAACCACCTGTCCACAATCCATGGAACTCTTGCAAGATTGAAGACGAATGTGCGCGGCGCTAACGCGCGCGAGAGCCACATTTTGGAAGCGGCCCTCCCACGTGTTGTGAAACTACAACCAGCTCCGGCTCATATTTTGCATGGAAGTCTCAGGCGAAACGCCCGGTTCGCCCTTCCGACTGGCCTCGGGGTGCGACGGGGATGAGTTACCCATAAGGAAAAGGAATGGAGGAGGAAGAGGAGGAGGAGGAGGAAAAGGAAGAGGAGGAGGGGACGACAAAGAGGACGCTGAGGACGAGGAAGAAAACGAGATAGACGAGGAGAAGGAAGAGAATGACGAGAACGAGGACGAGAAGGACGAGGAGGACGAAAAGGACGGAGACGAGGATGATGACGTGGAAGACGGAGAGGAGGACGAAGACGAAGAAGAAGCGAAGCGAAGCGAACGCTGGAGTCGTGCGCGCTCCACTCGGAAGCCCGTCCATGCCCACTGATGCATGGCGTGGAGGCCGTTGCCCAAAAAATGTGACATGTAGACGGATTCACATCGTAACCACCATGCAGTGCCCAACGGCGGCTGAGAACCATCTCAAGTCGTTCGAGCTGTTGTGCTCGTGTAGTTTTGGTTCGGTCGCTGCCCGGATATGGTCATGCCCGGGATCGGCGTCGCAGCACTGCCCGTTCAAGCCGTGGGGAAACTACCCCACCCGACGTCGTCGCGCGCCTGGTCGCGCGGCCGGCGCAGGCCGTCGCGAGCGGCTCGACGCCCGTCGCGCACCTCGCCCACCAGGCGCGCGCTCACCAACGTCTCTGCTCACGGCTCGGCCTTGGCCAAGAGGCCGCCACGTCCTCGTCACTCCCCGTGATGCGAACACACACAGACACACACACACACAGACTCACACTTTTGCGTCGGCGGCTAGGCAGGGGTCGTCTGCGCTGGCGGAAGAAACGCACACACACACACACACACACACACACACACACACCCTGCGCACGAAGGCCGTGAGCGTTTGCTGCACGGGCTGCATCAGGTCCCCCTGAGTATGGGGGGCGCACGGGCGGGAGGGCTGGTGGGCAGAAGCCAACAGCATCAGAATCCCTCAGGCCCTCTGGGCGCAGATGGACTCACGACTTTTTTCTCGTGCTCCTGAAACTTGTTTCCCCTGTTCGGGATGGGGCACCCCTCCCCCATACCCGACCCTGGGTCTGGACGGGAGGGGGGGGTCGCAATGCTTCAAACCCTCGCCCCGCGCCACCATCCGACCCCCCATTTCACACACACACACACACACACACACAAACACACACACACACACACACACACACACACTTTTTTTTGGTCTGCGGGTCGAGAGCGAGCCTCTTCCGGTTAAGAGCTAGGCAAACCGCGCAAAGCACTGATTGGGGAAACAGGGCGCGGGCGGGCGGGGCCTCAGGCGGCCGGAGGGCGCGGGGTGCAGGCGGTGCTGACACACACACACACACACACACACACACACACACACACACACACGCTCACACTTTTGAGTCGGCGGCGAGGCAGAGTGACTGCGCTGGCGGATGGATCCACACGCGCGCGCGCGCACAGTTTTGGGCGTCGATGCCGCGCGCAGCGGCGCGGCGCAGTGCAGGTCGTCGAGCGGGAGCGAGGCGCGCGCGGGCCGGCCCAGATCACACCACGCGGTGCGGAGATATACCGGATCCACCCACAGGGGATCGACAGCATCACCGGCGAGGGGGCAGTCGCGAGGTGCTCTGGGGGCAGAGTTAAGTCGGGCGTGTCCCCCTACAGGGGGATGTTGGACGGCACATCAAAAATACCCCAGAAATAACCAAAAGATAGTCCAAAAATCGTCTGGGGACTATTTTGTTGAGTATCTTTTGACCTCCTTGGGGTATTTTTGGGGGTATCTTTTATTTTTCGTCGAAAATCCCCCTGTAGGGGGACACGCCCGACATAAGGGCAGGGTGGAGAGGCAGGGGCAGGCGGAAAGGGAGCAGTGCGCAGCCTCACCGACCAGGACGAGGCGCAGGAGCGGCCCGCACCGGCGGAGCGCACACGGGACGGGAGTCCCGCAGGCAGGAGGGTGCACGGTTTCTCCTGGGGCCGTAGGCGGCCCGAGGAGGAGGAGGAGGAGGAGGAGAAGGAGGAGGAGGAGGAGGAGGAGGAGGAGTAGGAAGAGGAGAAGGAGGAGGAGAAGGAGGAGGAGGAGGAGGACGGGTCGCCTAAGCCCTTCGGAAAAACCCTCCACAGGAGGGCGCCGGGGGGAGGCAGCGGCAGCAGGCGGAACGCTGGCAGGCGAGCCGAGAGGCGGGGCAGCAGGAGCGGCTGCGAGGCGGGAGCGGCCGACCCGGTCAGAGGCAAGGGGCGAGGAGGCCCGCCAGGGGGGGGGCAGCCACCGCGCAGCAGGCGGCCGCCCAAGGCGCGGGCGGCAGGGGGGAAGAGAGGTCGGCGAGGGCGGGCAGGCAGAGAATTGCCCACCGCCAGCGGCAGCTGGCAAAGGGGCAGCCGGACGCACGGAGTCATGCTGATGCTATATGTCCTCCTTGGAGGAGGGCGTCCGGCATGTAGCATGCCCATCTTGCAGTATATCCTTTCCCGAGCGGTGTGGCCAGGAAAGAGCCCGCTGCGACACGTATACTGTAAGATTTCTCGGTGCGCGCGTCGCCCCTGGGGGGCGACGCACATATAGTACAAGTATGTTGGGATGAGGCCAGGGG